GAGGTGAGAGAACGGACGAGCAGAGCAGTCTTAGGAAGAGGGTTCACAGGCTAGTGCCTACTTGGTATTCAGGTTGGTTAAAATTCTGTCTGCATACAGTATGTGTGAATTGGAGAGCAGTCTCATCTAAGAGTGCTAAGGCTTTCCTCACAGAGTGCCAACAGCAGGAAATGTTCATGTCAACTCTAGTGTGAGACCTTCCTGTGTTATTGCAATACACACACATTCAGTAAAGCAGAGGAGGGTCATGCATAGACACTGAAAGATACTGTCAAAAAGTTATGGAGTAATAGCTGGGGAGTAAAATCTATTGAATGCTAATTATTCTGCACTTTTCTGGCTTCTACTTCAACTAAAACTCCAATGGAGTTGATTTTTATTTTAATTTATTATAAAGTAAGAGATTTTAATTTAATTTATTTATTTATTTTTAATATAGGTCACTTTAAAACGTTCTTGGAAACTTTTTACCCTAACTTCATCAATTACTTTTGCTACTTTTAAATGCCTTTATCTATAGATTTATTGTTTTATACTGTACTTGTCCCATACTTCCTATCTTTAACAATGAAAATTATACAGAAAATTATTACAAGCTTAAATTATGCTAGTTAAACAAGAGTGAAATAAACAAAAACTATCCCAATATTTATTGTGTGAAAATTATTTATACCAGAATGTCTCCAACAGTAGTGTTGTATTAGTATCATTCAGATACTGTTATATTTTTTATTCATATTTTGAATCAATTTTTATCTTGATATTTTCATTGAGTTGTGTGTGTCTGTATAGTTTTTATTCATTTTTATTTCAGTTTTAGTTATTTTAGTACATCAACATAGACTAAATTAAAATCGGAAATGTTGCCTTGGCAGCTAGCTGAAATAAAAATGTATTTATTTATTTTGTTTCAAGCAATTATTATTTTTTTATGGCTTCAATTTAAGTTTCAGTTTTAGTTCTAGTTAACTATAATAACCCTGCTTCACACCAAACAATTTTGTACCTAATAATTTCTTTTGAAGAGCCTGAGGTGAAATATGGAAATATGTTTTGAAATATGTTGTGTATAAAGAAAACAAGGACATATCAATTGTAAACAGATTTGATTTCGTTAAGTGTAATTTCCAGTCAAGCTGTAACTGTCAAGTTATGCAAAAAGTGTATTTGTGTGTTTTTTTAGCATATGAAAAACCCCTGCTAGTTGTGAATTAGCAACGAGAAAGACAAATGACCAATTTTTAATTCCAAAAATGTTCAAATGTCATTTCAATCGGTGGAATTTTCACCACAGAATGCTACTGAGCACAATTTATTTCGGAGCGTGCCAGCCCCTATATAGCCAATAGTGTTTGCATTTCATTTATATATTTTAGAGATGTAAGGATAGATTGTGATTTCTATGCTGGGTATTTTTGTGCTCTGCCAGCAGAAAACAGCCGCTCATTTTGTTGGCTTGAGCTTGTTGCCAATTAAGAATGCTTAAATAATGACCTGCAGAGAGCTGTTGTCCTCCTAGGAGGCCCGTGCTGACGTGCTGACTTTTCACTCATCTCCAGTAAAGTCTGACGTCCTGTATGGGGTTACATGGTGAGCGCTGATCTACATTTAGCTGTGGCTGAACATCTCTTGATGATCCTTGCAACAGCAGAAAATGGTTATTTCTAATAACACCATAGCAAACATTCATGTCTATTAATGGACAAGACCCAAGCTTCCCCACAGCCTTCACTGGTACTGTATTTCCCATAATGCTCTTGTGCACATATTAATAAAGCTGAAGTGCTTCTACCGGAGCTGTGCACCTCAGTGTCAGATCTAAGCTTGTGATTCTGTGATGCAATAAAGTGTGTAATTAATTTCTGATACAGGTACCAACTCCCCTGGATCACTCCAATAATATCATCACTAAACATCAACCCTTAAAGGAATATTCCAGGCTCAGTACAAGTTAAGCACAATCGACAGCATTTGTGAAACGATGTTACCATAAAAATTCATTTTGACTCATCTCTTTTTTTCTCTCTGCGCTTACAATGGAAGTGAATCGGGACAGTTTTAGGATTTAAGTGCATAAATGTGAAGCTTAAATAAAAGCATTTACATTATTGCTTCTCCTAAAATGTTTGTATTATCTAAGCTGTAAATATGTTTATGTCATACTTTTTACATTCATTTTGGGGTTGTAAAAAGTGAGTGACCTTTATGCCATTCGCTGCTAAAGAAAAAAAGTGAGTTTGTGGGAAAACTGTACACAAAACAAATCATTAAAAAAACCATCCTGTTAAATTGACAGTAAAAGAACTGGCAGCTGGTTGCAAGAAATTCACCATAAAAATACTGTCACAACTTACAATCATGTGTTTCATTAAGTGATATAATGTTAATACATCTATTACTTGAACTAAAATCTCCCTTTTACCTTGACTTTTTCTTTGACCATTTGCAGTAATGCTGAATATGTCTGTGATATATTCATATTCCTAAATTAATATGCGGGCTAAACGGGAGACTCATGGTGAAATATGTGAGCTATTACTGAAACTTTCAAATGCCAAAGGCCACAGAAAAATTGATTATTTTGTTGTAAATCTTTGCACCTGGGCATATTGTTGGGATACTCCTTATATTGCCCCTTCAAGCTCAAACAAACTAGAAGACAGGTAACAGCGCTTTTCCATACTTTACTGTGGTCCCATAAAAATCACCCACAGAATTCCCATTAATAAACCATTCTCATTATACAAATCCCCCCCCCCCCCTCAACATACTATGAAACACAGATTTAAAAGAGTACTTTTTTTTGTCAAATGCAGTATTATTGTTAATTAAGTAAAGGTTAATAACAACAATAATAAACATTCAAACAAGGTTTAAACTAAAGTACAGTGGTGGCCAAAATTATTAGAACACTAGTATCTTCGAATCCAGAAGAACTGTGGCAACATCTCCAAGATGCTTCATGAAACCATTTTTAGCTGGTGAAAATACTAGTGTTCTAATAGTTTTGGCCACCACTGTAGTTTGAAATATTTTCAAACTTCTTTACAAAATAAAGAAATAGTAAAAATAAATAAATAAATAAATGTGAAATGTAATAACTGATATAATATGTATAAGATGTCTCTCTTGGTAAATGTGACACATCCATATATATGATATCATTTTATTCCATATGTTAGAATTAAAATATCTGGTAACACTTAATAATAAAATCTCATGTGTTAACATTAGTTAATGGATTACAACTAACTATAGCAATATATTTTACAGCATTTATCAAAAATATTATTTAATTTAAAAAAAAATACAATTATTCATCGTTTTTTCATGTTGCATTTACTAAAGTTAACATATAGCCTACTACTTTTAATTGTGAAAATATTGCCCTATAGTAAATGTACAAAATTTACATTAACTAAGATTAATACATGTTATAGAAGTATTGATACTTCATTAACTATTTTAGTTAACTAATGTTAACAAATTAATCCTGTAAATTGTTACCAAATGTTTAAAACGAAATGTGGGTGGTGATAGATGATGAAATAGCCTACAATTTTTAGAAATTAAAAGTATACAATATACATTGACAAACATATGACATAAATAAATACACACATAATGTTAAATGACACAAATAGCATCATCCGAATCAGCTGCTTGTTTAATTGGATTGTAATATCATAGATTTACATTGAATCAAAATGTAGATAACCACTGATTACACTCCCAGTCTCCACTGCACATTCATGGAAGAGGAAAACACTTGTTGTAGTGCATCAAAAGCCTGTCATTTCTCGTACATTTAGAGATTTGCGATTAAACAGTATATTATTGCCAGTGTTGGGAAGGTTACTTTGGAAATGTAATAGGTTACAGATTACAAGTTACCCTATTTAAAATGTAACAAGTAGTGTAACTATTTCAATTACTTTATTATTAATGTAACTAAATACATTTGATTACTTTTTGTTTTCTTTTCTAAATTTCTAATGTTTTCAAGTGTTACTCATTTTCAAACATGTAAACCAGGCAGGGTTAACCTTACAGTAGCACTCAACACTGATTAGTCTCAGACTTTCAAATTTCATCACTATAATTAAGATTATAATCATTTAATTTAAAAGCACAGCCGCCACAAAATCAGACTTTAGCACCTCTTTTTACTTTGAGATCATTCTGATGTAGGCTAAATACAGATTTTAAATCATAAAAAGATAGCTATAATTTAATAGCTATGATACTGTTTTGAAATCAAATGCATAGTTGACAGGAAACACTGGCATCTAACAATGCCTTGGGAAAAAAAACAGCAGTGTTGTAAATACAACTTAACCACTGATTTCTAGTCGTGTCTAAAGACGGCCGAGAGTGAGCGGAGGCCAGCTTGAGTGAGCGGCGGCGGGCGGGCGGGCTTGAGAACGGCGCGGCAGAACGAGCCGTTTTAGGTAGGCGTGGTTGACTCTTAACTTTTATAAAGAATATCTCTTTGGATTTGAGACTTTAGTCTTTGCAACTTTACAGATCTATGCACCAAGAGCTTGTAACACTCCAAAGAGAAAGGAAAAATTGAAATCGCATCATATGACCCCTTTAAAAAAATAAAGCATAAACCCAAGTAGGAAATAAAACAGTTATCAAATAAGCATGTGTCCTATTGTGTGTCCTAAACTCCTGCAACATTGGTGTCTCATATTTTAGAGTGGTCACTGCAATTTATGAAAGAAATCAATTAAATCTGTATGTGGGTGTGTGTAAAAAAAATATTCAGATGTAACCCCGTAACTGTAATTTAATTACACATTTTTTCTCAGTAACTGTAACTGATTACAATTACATTTATTTTGTAATTAAATTACGTAATTTATTTACACGTAACTAGTTACTACCCAACACTGATTATTGCCCACCAACCTTACCCCAAACTTGCCAAATCTCCAGTGTTGTGGTCAGGGTTCGGCTGCTCTCGCCTGACTCCTCCCCCGAGTTCGATGTGTTCGTCTCTCGGCTCTGCTCAGGCTTGTCAGTGCGGGCGAGAGCGCTGCTAAACATGGCGACGGACGGAATGATTTTAACCAACCACGACCACCAAATCCGAGTTGGAATATTGACAGGTAAATACGAAATGACATTAGCTCCTTTTACGCCTCGTCGCTCGGGCTGGTCTGTGCGTTCATGCTGTTGCCCGCTGCTGTTTGTCGTGCCGGTGGTGATTCCTATCTGAGCGAGTTCTGCCCATCTATCGCTCGCGTTCGTCGACTCATTCGCAAAAGCTGTGTGTTTGTTTATCAATATGTCCTGGTATTCATTTATACATTCTATGCGATAATGTATCTGGCTCTATAAGATCTGCCTTTGGTCTGTCATGCAGCACAGCTCAGTGTCAAGACAACAGTTTGTGTGATGAATTATTCATAGATTGTACGCAAGACATCCACATAACATACAGCAGATCGTTGGAAAATCCTCTTATATCTGTGAATGAACTCTCTGATCGCTGCCATATGTCTGTTTAAGGTCATATTAACATGTGTGGTTGTTGAATAGTGCTGCTATGTAGATACGAGTTGGTATTTGGAGTTGGTCACGCAGTGTTTTTTTCCCTCATGGATTTCTGCACAGCGGCATCTCAGCTTCGGGTTTGATTTGAGGCTGTATTTGTACACCTGCACGGTGATATATTAATATACACAGCGTCTCGTGCAATAGACACATTCACTCAGGAATGCACATTAAACACGACTTTCAGGGTTACCGATAATGCTTTCACTATGCACGCGATTAAGTGGTATTCTCGTGCATGCGTTTGAATCGTCTTCATTGATTGCCATCCCAATTTTGGCTAAAAACGGGAATGAAGCAGCCGCCTTCTTGTTAAATATCGCTGCCGTAGCTTCCTCGCGGGAACAGGGGGAATGGGTGATGAATAGCGATGTCCGATTCGTGAACGAATCGTTCTTTTGAGTCAGATCTTTATAATTAATCTGTTCACGATTGGAGGAAGAAACGAATGTCAGTCTGAGTTATTCTCACTCATTAACTCATTGATTCGAGAACCGTTTTTCGAACATGTCTCACTCCTAAATAAGATTCAGAGTTCCATAAATAGGTTTACAACTTAATTATGTGACAGTTGTATCAACAAGCATGAATGTTCAGTCGCATTAGCAACATTTTGGCAAAACTTGTCATTTGTCAATAGTTTAGCAATGTGTTGGTCATCGCTGCTAATTTGTTTGACAAACCTGAACCTGCTGCAAAATCGGTGTAGGAAAATCTTTCGCTGAATTTACTAATTTAATTGAATTTTGCCCAGGCAAATTCGGCAATTAAAAAAAAATAATAATAAAACTATATTTTTTATAAATGTATAAGAACATGCAACAACTTTTAAGTTGGTTTTGTAAATATAAGTGATCATTTATGATCTGAATAATAACTACAACAAACTGAAGCAGGACACATGAAATTACAATAATAACCTTTATTAACAAAATGTACTTCAAAAAGCTTAATAAACGGCATTATGTGCCTACAAATGGTTTTATTGGAAGGTTTTAGAGCATGTAATATACCACAACCGGATATCAGGGATCACGTGATGATGTAAAAGAATCACTGACTGAATCGTTTTTAAATTGGTTCTTTGCTTAAAGGAACCAGTTGATGGAAATGAATCAGACTTGCCATCACAAGTGATGAAATGCACACACTGACTGAATGCAAATGTCAGTAACTTTGCAGTGTGTCACATATTCATGACATTCCTCTCGGCGTGTTTCCGCAAGCCTATTCCGCGAGCATGAGCCTTCGAGATGCTTGTTGCGAGGGGGAATGGCATAAAACATTGTGGGAATCCCCTTCCCCCCACCACACACATACACACCCCTGTATAAGCATGACTGCTGACCGAGTGCGCTGTCCCCTGTTTTTGGTGCTGAAAAACAGCCTCATTTTTGCGTTTGTCTCGACATTTTCCTCATCTGTGTGGACATTTCCGTAACGGAAATATATTTGAGAAGGTGAGAGGGATTTTCCCGAGGACATTATATGCACCCCTCCTTTCCTTTTCTCTTATACTAACATCAGCTGATCTAGTCCATCATTAGTCGCAGTCACGCCTAGCCCTTCTAGGAGATTGGTTAGCATGCCTGCACTGTGTAGGGGCATTTCATGGAAGCACACGCTTATTGATGAGGAACTCTGTGTGTGTGGAAGTGTGTGTGTGTGTGTGTGTGTGTGTGTGTGTAAAGGAGGCAGGGAGGGAGTGAGAGCAAGTATGGATGCCTAAGAGTGAGACGAAAATGGGACCAAGCACATAGAACTACGGAACTGTATACATAATAGTGAGACAGTTGTGCATTGACAAGCAAAATCTTTTGACATTTTGTTTGAGATGTTGTAAAGTGGTGAAATAGAAGCATAGCAGGGACTTCCAAATGTGGATTAGTCTAAAAATAGGTCTCCAAAATGTTTAAACTATGCATTAAAATTGCATGCAAATAGAATTGAAATTAGAAAGGATTGATTTTGTGCTATTCAAAGTTGATTTGTTTTGCTGTGTATTTTTAGGGTAGCAGGCGAGACCGAGTCTGCATGCTCTGCAGATTTCCGAGTGGTTTCCAGGCAAATGTTATCATTGTTCCGAGTGCTGTCTGGTATTACGAATGTTTAACATATAACATTCATAGCCTGCAACATTTTAGGGGGAAATATTGAATGAATATAGAGGACAAATACAGAAATCTCTGGAGTCTCAAGGTTGTGGTTGAATGCTGAGCTTAGAGGCTTTAATTTTTGGAAGGGTGTTGCTTTTGGTTTTTCATAGAACAGTAAAATATTTGTGTATCCTACAAACCACCCCCTGAAGGGGATTGTGATATTGGACTGAATTTGTTGTGCTGTAAACGCCATATATTTACTGCATTCATCAGGTCTGCTCAACCAAGCATTTTTTCATTCTGATTGCTTGAGCTGTAGTTGCATGCTATGGAGGGTCAGACACATCTATCGCTAAGTCGTTGGTTCCTCTTTGATATCTGATACATGAAATAACACATAGAGAAAAAGCGCAAGCTTTTAGATCGTTTCCTCTCCAGCTCTCATCTTTCCATTCAAAGGTGCCAGCATCAGAGTTACATTCACGGCTGTGGATGCTGTCAGGGCTTGTCTCTGAGGTGTTCAGAGCGATCCTCCCGTGTGGGCAGGGCTCCTCCTTCTGAACAGCTGTCGTGCTTCAACGAATAAACTGAAGTCAGGTACATGCCTATCACTGATGGGCTTTATTTCCTCTAAGACAGGAAATGATTTAGTTCTGGAATTTTGAATATTGTCCAAAAGGGTTTTTTTCTTCCTCTATGGAGTCCCGTACGTTTAGTTTAGTTTAGTTTCTTATATAGCACATTTCTACTGCCTTCAAAGCAGCCCAAAGTGCTGTACAATGCATTCAAGAAAACCAAACACATACAATAACAAACACAACATCTTAAAAAGAAAACAAACATTATGTCTCTCCTAGGGCTGGGCGATATAGCTAAAAAATGTATCAACAATATAATGTTTCATATCGTTCGGTATTGATAATTATTTACATTTTTATAACCTTTTTTAAAACAAAGAGCAATAGAATTTTTTTTAAAAATTTAACCACTGTATTTTTAAATTAACCCTATTTATTGAGACAAACAACAAATATTTTTTGTTTTAACAGTCAAACATACAATAAAAAAAAAAGTTTTAATATCGTATCGAAGTAACATTCAAACATACAATAAAAAAAAAAGTTTTAATATCGTATCGAAGTATCGAAGAAGGTGTACCGTCGATAAATATCAATACCGTTTTATCGCCCAGCCTAGTCTCTCCTAAATCAAATTCAAACGCCATAATATAAAAATGCTTATTCAAAGCCATTTTAAAAGCAAACACAGAGGGGGCAGTGCGAATGGCTAGAGGTAGATTATTCCATAGCCGAGGACCGGCAATAGTCAAGTCAAGTCAAGTCATCAGTAATTTAGTGGGTACAGGATCTAACAGACATGTTGTTGGTAATAGTAAAGGCCCGATCACCTTTTCGCTTAAGTCGGGACCGCTGTACCTGGAGCAATCGTTTGTCAGCAGATCTCAAGTTCTTAACAGGTTTATGTAAAGTAACATATTTTATATTGCTATATATAGCAGCAGCATTTTGAACAAGATGTAATCGATTAATTACTGAGAAATTCCTAAATACATATCAAACACATACAATAACAAACACAACATCTTAAAAAAAGAAAACAAACATTATGTCTCTCCTAAATCAGATTCAAACGCCATAATATAAAAATGCTTCTTCAAAGCCATTTTAAAAGCGAACACAGAGGGGGCAGTGCGAATGGCTAGAGGTAGATTATTCCATAGCCGAGGACCGGCAATAGTAAAGGCCCGATCACCTTTTCGCTTAAGTCGGGACCGCTGTACCTGGAGCAGTCGTTTGTCAGCAGATCTCAAGTTCTTAACAGGTTTATGTAAAGTAACAAGATCTGACAAATACAAAGGTACGAGACCGTTTAAAATTTTGAAAATTATTACTAAGGCCTTGAAATCAATCCAATATCTAACAGGTAACCAATGCAAGGATGCTAAAATTGGAGTTATTCTATCCCTCTTTCTCCTACCAGTCAATAGTCTGGCAGCAGCATTTTGAACAAGCTGTAATCAATTTACCAATGACTGAGAAATTCCTAAATACACAACATTACAATAATCCAATCTAGATGATATAAAAGCATGGATGATTGTCTCCAAATTTCTAGATGAGAGCATTGGTTTAATCTTAGATATTAACCTTAAGTGGTAGAAACTAGTTTTCACCAGAGTATTAACTTGTTTTTCAAAATTCAGCTCCGAATCAAAAAATACACCCAGATTTTTTGCGTATGGTGAACATTTCTAGAAAGAGGCCCCAAATAACTAGAAATAAGGGGAGAAGAGCTAAGAGGACCAAAGACAACCATATCTGTTTTGCTCTTATTTAAATTGAGAAAATTCTTAGCCATTCAGGATTTCACATCCTCGAGACACTTGACAATTGTAGCACAGGACTTATCAACTGGGTGTAATGGGACATACA